TGGTTGTGGATTTTGATAGATTGTGTTCGTGCGTAACCCGCAAGCGTACGAGACCATTGACAAGTAATATATTTAATGAGTTGAGAGTATCATCTCATAAGAAATAAAATTTAATAGAGTGTACTGGTTTTTAATTAGATTTAAGGTAAGCAAAACAAAAAAAGATTGTAATTTGTGATCATTCTAACTTAATCTACGGAAATTAGTAAAATTCTAATTTAGTATGTTTATGAGTTGATTGTATTGGATTACGAATCCACATATTATTATCTATTTCAATTCTCAATTATGTACTAGTTTAGTCCTTGCATTCTGACAATCGATAATTCTATTGTAATTAATTTTCTTTTTCAAGACAAATTAAATATATTTTAGCCACGACTTGAATCTATTCCTAATCCGAATTTGAATGAATAAAACGCATTCAATTTCACAATTATCTCAAAAATTGCACACGTGATAAATATTATTGTTATGATTTTTCTTCATCTCATCTCCCAGGAACAATTCAGATTTACAAACTAGAAAAGAAAGCACATCAATGACAGAACATGTGTTAATCGAGTAGTGTTCTAAATTTTTTGTGAGCCTTCCAACACTACAATAAGCAACCATATATTTAATTGATGATCAAGAAATCATATAATAAAATTAGACATACAAAATTAATCAAGAATTGCAAAAATTCAACTAAACCACGTGTTTTAAATTAAAAATAAATAATAAATGATTTCATCTTCATCCGATACATGAAAAAAATTATCCTATCCTCCATGCAGCCACCCAATTTCTCTTCTTTATGTATGTATATCCCTCTATTAATTACAACACGACTGTATGTATTTTTTTCTCCTTAAATCTACCGCCAACTGCTTTATATATCTATAAATCAGTCTCCTTTTTTCTTCTCAGTGTTGACGTGTTCACGTATATATCAATTTCTCCCCCAGCCGTCGTTTTCTATGAATCTGTTTTTCTTGGCTTGGCTGCCATTTTCAATGTTTGTGTGTATATGGATGAATCCGAAGGCAGCCCTCAATTTTTGACTCCAATACAAGGCCCAATTTTCTTTCTTTTTGATCCTGCTGACGCCTATTTGTTTGACTCCAAAAATAGAGCCCTTAATTTTCTGTCTTCTGCGTTCTCTATCCATGAAATATTCAGCAACCACCTTTTTTCATTGAAATCCAATTCCAGCCCTTTTTTCTTCAATTGTGAGTCCCAATTATGACCAATTTCAAAATTAAGAAAGAAGGTTTAGAATTTTAAAAATTAGATATTAATTATATTTTATATATAAACAAATTAATTAAAAATATATTTTATTAATTAAATAATTAAGATCACAAATCTATAATATTTGATCACAAATTATCGAATTAATTGATCATAAATTATTTCTTGGTCACGAACACAAATTTATAGGTCACAAATTATTTTCCGATCACAAATCAAACATTTTATAAATCACAATTTATTCATCGATCACAACTCAAACAAATTTATAGGTCACAAATCATAAATTTTATAAGTCACGACTTACAAGTTATTAATCACATATTATTTATTGATCACAATCTAAAATAATTGGTCACATATTATTATTGGGGTCAAATTAACCAATTTATTTGTCACAATCAACCAAATAATTAGTGACAAACACTCAATCCCACACCATCCCACCGCATCGCTACCACTACCACCATCCCCGTCATTGCCGACCACAACCACCTCACCACCGCAGTCAGTATCACAGTCAACACCACTAAAGAATCAAATCCAAAATGATCGATCACCACCACAACTATCACCAACATCGCCACCACCATCTCACTAGCACCACCACCAACTACAAACACCACGACCATCTACAAACCACCATTAACTACCTCAAAAACTCCAACATCCAAAAGTCCAAAATTTCCCCACATTTTCCACCACTAGAAACGGTGCTCATGCTCAAAACCATCACCGCCCAAAATTAGCACAGTTGTCGTCACCTAAAAAATGCACAACCACGATCGCGACCATCATAGTCTATACCACCACACGGCAAATGCATCCCAATTTTTCGGCACCAGATCATGACCATATTTCCCCAAATCGGGACCAACAATACTTGCAAAACCAACAAATCTCTCGATAGCAGCCTTGGATGATCATTCGCTGCTGCATCCAACACCACGACCTCATACCTCAAATCAACAGCCCACTCGACTACTTACATTTTACCTTTTTAGTCCTACTTTTTCATCCACAAAATTTCACCACCTGTCGACTTGAAACCATGATAAAAAAAAAAAAAAAAAAAAGATTCACAAAGCCAAATGGAAAACATCCAACAATGTTAGAAATCATTGAATGAAAACAATTTATTAAACTCAATTAAAGGAGAGTGGGAATTACAATGGAACACTCCATTAAAGGTGGAAATACACTCCATAATAGGAGGAGAGAAACCTCCATGGAAGGAGGGATTGGAAGATACTACAATCCAATAAGTGAACAATGCATACACGGTACCTTATTTATAGAGAAAAAGACTAGAGTAATTATCTAACTAATTGGCGAATTAACAAACTAATCACTTAACTAACTAACAAACTAAACAACTAAACATGAGATGGAATATTCTGGAATCTGCTGGAGCGTATTTCTAACACACCCCCTCAAGATGGACTAGGAAGATCCATCTTGAAGATTAAGGAAATGGAGTGAAACATGGATGCATTAGCTGTTACCACGGAGAAAGAAAAGCCAAAGACAAACCATTATTGCCAGAAGCATCAATTGCGGAACTGCTAGTTGATGATGAAGAATTATGAACAACTTTGCTTTTAATTTCTGTGACCATTGTCAATCTGAAGAGAGGCATGGGATTCTGCCTCAGGTGTGAAGAAGGATTCAGTCTCACCTTCCACTCATTTCATGGCACAATTTTGCACTCGTACAACGTTTGGTAGAAAAGGAAATGAAATCTAATCTATCATCCATTCTAGCTGATCCACAGAATGTGAAAAATTGAGAGCAGTTATGATGAAGGTGTTGCAGATAATAATGCTAGAAGGTGCAAAAACTCCAACAAAAGTTGTTGACGCTTTGAGAACTGGAGCGCGCCCGCTGGAAGGCAACCTGTACATCCAGTATGTTGTTGGTATTGAAACCTATCCTTAATTTGAAGCCAAAGTTATCTTCAGACAAACTGGTGGATGAATGATGATCTGAAGTGTATGACGGATCTACAAAAGCTAATTTTTGCTAGGAACCAACTTGAGGATGGCCAACCCTTATTGAATGCTAAAAAGACAATCATATTCCAGTAGAATTCTGGAAAAGCAAAAGCAACAGGAAGCAGTTTCTGCAGCAGCAATTGGAAGCACAAAAAGCTCTGATACTATGTTTGAAATCATTGAATGAAAACAATTTATTGAACTCGATTAAAGGAGAATGGGAATTACAATGGAGCACTCCCTTAAAGGTGGAAATACACTCCATAATAGGAGGAAGAAAACACTCCATAATAGGAGGAGAGAAACCTCCATGGAAGGAGGGATTGGAAGATACTACAATCCAATAAGTGAACAATGCATACACGGTGCCTTATTTATCGAGAAAAAGACTAGAGTAATTATCTAACTAATTAGCGAATTAACAAACTAATCACTTAACTAACTAACAAACTAAACAACTAAACATGAGCTGAAATATTCTGGAATTTGTTGGAGCGTATTTCTAACAAGCAGGTCGAGGTGAGTCGTGGTGGCACAACACGACGGTGATAGTGCAAAGCTGAGTGGTGGGGTTGGTGCGAGGTGGTTTGGCACACTCGACAATGGTACAAGGCTGATCGACAGCAGCCAACGCAATGGTGGCACGAGAGAGAAATGGCCATCGTCGGAAGGGGTGGTGGCACCGTGCGTATTTGGCAAAGAGAAGATGGAGAGAGGGAGAAAGAGGGTTGAATGATGTTAGGGTTTGGGGAATAATTGAATTAGGGTTATGGGGGGTAGGGTGGATTGGTTTATTATTATTATTATTTAAAATTTTATCTGTATTTGATTTTTTTAAAGAAAAATTTGTAATTCTTAATTATGAATTGAGATCTTAAAAACACTTAGTTCTTGTAATTTTCAAGTCCATTAATTTGAGGCCCAATTAGTTATAATTTATCTTCTAAGGCCTCACTTCATTATAATTAATGGAGCTTAGTCCTTCAGTTTCTAGTAAGTGGAGTTTGATCTCAAAATTGTATTTTTATCCAATTTTCGTTATTCTTTCTCTGCAATTGCTTCCAAGGAGTTATTCACTAAAAACAAAATAAAATTAAGTCAAGTAAAGATTAATAATTTGACGATATAAAAGTTTAGTAATATGGCTCGGATACGTACAGAAATTACTGATTGAGGAAAAAGGCTTGTGCTCGGGCCGCCCGTAGCTCAACCCGCAAAAAGCTTGAGCCGAACTTCATCCGGGGGTCCAGGTTGAGCCAAACCAGCCCATGTGGTTCACGGGCCGGCTCGAAAAAGAAGAAGAAGAATGCATAAGGCAGCTGGTTGCTGCATTTAAACACAGGCAGCTGGTGCTACAAACTATCTTTTAAAGGGGGGGAAAATCGAGTCAGCTTGGCTTGGTAAGACTCGAGCCGAAAGCTCGATTTTTTGGCCAAGTTTTTGCTCGACTCGACTCGGGTAAAAAAAGACCCTATTCAAAAAGCTCGAGTTGAACTCGAGCCTCGATTTTCGATTCGTTAGCTGATTCGATTCGATTCGTTGACATCCCTGAGTAGAACCAACACAAATTACACCAGAACTAAATGGTCTGGTTCATATTTTAAGAAAAATCATTTAATTTTATTATAAAAAACTTATTGATTTATGGCTCGGTTCATTTCACTTGGAACCAAGTCCACACCTATAGTGAGAGTTGATCAATGAAAGATTGGATGATCAACGGCGCAGATTCATAGCTTAAGAAATGTACAGTCATCTCGTCTTCTACCCATTTCACCTAATTTATCAATCTCTCTAGCATTAATTAATTAACTATTATTCTAGGGTTCTTCGCCACTTATAAATTATTAATTTGATATTATCTTTGGAATCAAGCACATTTTAGCCATATTCGAGCTCATACAGTGCAATTGAAAGTTTCTGTCGGGAGTTAATCTATTACTGGGAAATATGGGTGTGGATGAAGATTCTGAGCAAGAATTCAAATCGCAGAAGAAAAAACCAGCTTCTGATGATGATAAAAGGCGAGGATTTTTTTAACCATTTTCTTCGTGTTTTTTTTTTGTCTTTTTATAGTTATTTCAAACTCTTTGTGGTGAAATTGAAGCCTTGAATTTTATACAGGAAAAAGAAAATTACACCTGGAAGTTTGATGAAAGCTCTGATGAGGCCTGGGAGCGGGGAAAAAACACCTAGCGATGGTGATCAGGTTTGTTATTGTTCTTAATTATGTTCATTAAGGGTGTTGGAAATGTCAGTTATATTATTATCCACTGTAATTCAGTTATTCTGAAGTTATTATAGAATCGGCGTCCATAGATGACTGGGAAAATGTAGAAATTACAATTTTTCCTTTGGAATCTGTAGGTTATGTATCACTGTACTATTCGAACACTGGATGGAGTGGTTGTGGAGTCAACAAGAGCAGAATTAGGAGGTAAGTTGGACTTTATGCTTCATTCACAAACAATGATGTTGGAAGTAATTAGTAATAACAGAAAACCATAATGTAGAAGAACAGGAAAAGAAAATAACATATATAATAGACTGTAACTTTACCACGGGGGATTTGCTTAATCATTTTAATGTAATTGAACTAGAAAATTTTCCATTATTTGCTTTCTATATTGGATGGAAATAATATTTCATGCTTTTGGAGTACGTAAACTTCTTGACACCTGACAGAATTTTTATTGGAATATATCAAAGAGGTATAGCCATTGAAGGGTTCCCATGACCTAATAATTCGTACTTAGTGCCTTATAATCATGATGCAGGTGTTCTTCCCTGTAGTCTTTTTATTATTATTATTATTTGCATTTATGTTTTTTCAATTTTGCGCTATACTGTTCTTTCTATTCAACTTTAACGGCAGTAATAAAATGCATCTAACTGATTTTGCATCCTTTTATGGATGCAATTTATTATATCCTTGTCCACCATCTAAGTTTTTCGCTGGAAATTCGTCATAAATCTCTTTCTCATGTCACAGGCAATGGTACCCCGATAAGACAGGTTTTGGGTAAAAGCAAGATGATATTGGGATTGTTAGAAGGCTTTCCTACAATGTTCAGTGGTGAAGTTGCAATGGTAATGTGGAACTTGTTTATGTAGATAAAAAGTAACGCTAGAAGCTTTGTATGAGATATACTTTAGCATTGTGTAGGTTTGGTTCATTATATTGTTTAAGATGTCTAAAGGCACTTTTGGGACAACCTCCACAAGCACATGCACATATAATTTGAGGGCTTTACTATCGGGCAAACTAAAAGCATAACTTACATAATATTATGTTTTTTTTGTCACTCTTCTAATTTTTTATACAACCTTAAGTTAAATTGAATATCTAATTTGGCGACCTTTTCTTCTTCTCCCCTTACCACTTCTTCTGAGGTATATTTTCCATATTATATTGCAGTGATAGGTGAAATAATTTTTAAAGCTTGTGCTTCTTCTTCCTCATTTCTTTTCTTGAATAATTTTTGACAATGTTCATGCCACTCATATATCTAGTTTCTGGTATTTATTTCAGCAAGATAAGAGAGTTATTACGAAGTTGGGAATAGAGAGAGAAAGAAATGCTTATATGGAGCCATAAAAATTGCATAAATTACCGGTTGAGAGTTTGTTTAAGTATATTCTCCCTGTATTGTTCACTTTATTAGTTCTCTTCTTACTGTTCTCACTATGTCGTCGATCTTTCTTTTCTCCTTCAGTTTTCCTTTCTCGTAGTCTATAAATAATATGAATGAGCAGATTATATCACAACCTCCATCCCCAAGTTAACCCTGCTCTTTGAATTGGTATGGAGTTTAGGTGATAGTTCATTCCACCTACCTTCAAAACTAATAAGCAAGAATGCTTATCAGCCATATCAAGTACTTTTAATTAGGCATATTTTTGAAATCTGATATCCATTTTGGGAAAGCAAACTTTATTTATGGGCATGTCAAAAAGAAAATAATAACATTCAGTCATGAACAGGAGGTTATTATCAGTGTCGCTTTAGAAATTCATGAAATTTTATGCAATTCGGGTGATGATTGGTAGTTAGTTGCTTTGTTACACTTGGTGATTTTTATGTTCTTTTATTCGTGTTTGAGATGGTGATATGTTTGATTTCAGTTCAAGATGAAACCCGAGCTGCATTATGGTGAGGAAAATTGCCCTGTTACAGTTGCGGATGGCTTTCCAAAGGATGATGAACTTCATTTTGAGATTGAGTTGATTGAATTCTCTAAAGTCAAGGCAAGAATGTTGTGTTTTCTACCATTGTCTTCTTATATATCATCTAACTTCTTAAATCTGTGATAGGGATTTTACTTTGCTTCTTTTAGTTTTACAAAAGATAACATAGCCTCATTTACATGGAATTGTGAAGTCAGTTGTTTGTACAATTTTATAAAATATGTAGAGAGAGAGCGAGAGCAACTTTTTTTTTTTTTTTTTTTTGATATATGCTGTAAAGCGTTTTACCCTGCTAAGATAACCCGATTTCTTTGTGGAAAAGTTGGTTTTAAGCATGGATAAATAGTTAGACTATTAAATGCTTCTTTGACTGCAGTTCGGGTTGTCAAATTTTCCTCTTAGCTTCTGATTTGGTTTTTGAGCATTTCATGCTATCTAGTCTTCACTATCATTTTCCATGTGATTTTGAATGTAGAGTAGTTTTATACTCATGTGTTTTTTTGGATTTATTTCTTTAATTTTTCAGGTTATTAGTGAAGATTTAGGCGTCTTAAAGAAGGTAAATGGAATATAAACAGCTGCTTTTGTATAATTACAATTGTTTGTTTTTAACATGGAACTCTCCGCAATGAATATTCTGAATAGTGTTAATATATTCTTCCCCTGTTGTCAAATCTGCTGATAGATATCCTTTAGTTGATTGTTTAAGGGAATTTATTCAGTCTAGCGCCACTCTGATGCCACTGCTGAAAAGTGAATTTTATTGACTGTTTTTATCATACTGTGGAGTCTGGGCAATACCTACACACTTTTTGGTCGAGGACTCTTTCTTGAAAACAATCTGATTCCGTCTTTGCCCTAAACTACAGGAGCGTTTTGTATGTTACTAAGTTGTTTATAAGCATTTACAAAGTATCTTCACAATTCTGAAATTATTTGAAGTACAAATAGCGCTTTGCAAATATAATGATTAACTAGACTTTGTGCTATGCATGCATGAAGCAAAATATTATTTTCAGGAATGTGAGGTTCAAATAAATACTGCGTTTTGATTTTTACTTGTCTTAACAGGTCACAGTAGAAGGACAAGGTTGGGAAACACCTAGAGAACCATACGAAGTTAAAGTTTGGTACAAAATTCTTCTTTCTTTTCCTGTCCTGTTTCCTATTGTTTTAATTCTTTTCATACACTTGATCCGAACTCATTCTAGCCTTTTGTTCTTTTCATGGTCATTATGATGAGCCTTTTCAACCATGCATCTGCTCAATACAAATTTATGTTATGTTTGATTGCTAATAGGATTTTGGCAAAGTCGGGTGATGGAAAATTGATTGTGTCACATACTCAAGGAGAACCCTTTTTCTTTACTTTTGGAAAGTCTGAGGTCAGTATCGAATTCCTGCGGCTTCATGGCTTTTATCTTGGTATCTTATATTTACTGATTTTTTTGAGTAGTCATATTTCCTCAGTCCAAATTTAGAGATAAGAATTATTGTTTGTAAGTTAGGTACCTGAAGGTCTTGAGATGGGAATGGGAACAATGTCAAGAGGAGAAAAGGCGGTAATTTATGTTACTAATAAGTATTTGACTCAGTGCCCTCTGATCCCCACAGTAGAAAGTATTGAAGAAGTCCATTTTGAGGTGGAGCTGGTACATTTTGTTCAGGTAAGCAGTTCTCCTCCATTACTGCTATAGTTGCCTCAGGATTCACGTTGCTCTGTTTTATGTGGAAGAGAAATTGTCAAACATTTAATGTGATTACCTAGGACCTATGTGGATCATTTTCAAATAAATATTGCCTTATATGTGGATAACTTCTATAACATTTTACTTTGCTAATTTTATAGCATCAAATCACATTTATGTTTTTATCTTTCTTGTCCTTAGCCTCTTGATATAATTTTGATGTCATTCTTTCTGAAAGGTGTGACAGATGCTATCTATCACTGTTGATTTTTTTCTTCATCAGAACTCTTTTAACAAATGTAATTCCATTGTCAATGATCAAATATACTTGAAACCGTATGGGCCTAACATGAAATTTTCTTTTTTGAGTATTTCGTTTCCACATCACTCATGTTTATCATGGTAGCCTCACACACTTTTGTCTCAGACCCTTAACTTCTGGTATCATAAATAACCTCCTTGTAAACGTAAAATTGTAAAGATATTCATTCTTGTTGATTGATATGATTGTTGATAATGCGGTCCTCTCTCATTCGAGTTGTAATGTTATACATAGGTGAAATACAGTTACCGTGCTTTAGTTTCTCATAGCTGCTCTACTAATGCCGGTTGTATTTGTATGTCTTTTAACTTCTACACAAGTTATCCTAAGCATATGTCTTTATGTAGAATTATTTAAGCAAAACCACTGGGAATTGGTCGATAAGTTAATGTCAAAGCTTCTTTCTAGGAATATACTGCGGAGGACAAAATAGTTATTTCCATGCTATCTTTCCTTATTTCTCTCTAGAATCACATCGATCTCTTTGCTTTGAGTTCCTTTGAAATGTCTTATCATGAATATACAGGTGCGGGATGTGCTTGGAGATGGACGACTAATAAAACGCCGGATTCATGATGGAAGAGGTGTTTTTGAACTTTAGTTTAAACTTTATTTGAGCCTAATATTTGCATTTTGTTTTGCAAAAAATTATAGTTATATATGCTGTCCAAATTTTGTGAAAAATTAGGTGAATTTCCTATGGATTGCCCACTTCGTGACAGTCTCCTACATGTCCATTACAAGGGGATGCTTCTCAATGCAGAAAAGACTGTATTCTACGATACAAAAGTTGATAACAATGGTCAGCCTTTGGAGTTCAGATCAGGGGAAGGGCTTGTAAGCCAATTTTTATGCCCTAAAAGCAAATCTTAAAAAAAAAAAAAAAAAAAAAAAAAAAAAATTGCATATTGCCATTTCTCATCCTCTGAAGTGCATTGTAGTGTGCCACATTACGGGGTTCTGGCTGTCACTTATTTTGATAAGTTATGATTCCCTTTTGCAATCAGGTGCCTGAAGGGTTTGAAATGTGCACCCGACTGATGTTGCCTGGAGAGATAGCTCTTGTTACATGCCCTCCTGATTATGCTTACGACAAATTTCCTAGGTTAAATTTTGTTTTATCAACACTCTCTTGCTAAAAATATATAATCACTCAACATGCACGCGTTGTCCTGTCTTCATTTTTATCAATGAAAAGCATTCTAGTTAGCTATATCCTCATATTTATTTTGTTGGATCAGGCCAGCTAATGTTCCTCAAGGTGCTGATATCCAGTGGGAGATTGAGCTTCTTGATTATGAGAAGCAAAAGGTGCAGAAACTCAAGAACACAAAATAGAAAATTGAAAAGGGATGGGCCTTCTGTGAAACTTGTTTGAATTTTGTGTTAGACAGTGGAATATAAATTTGAACTATAGTGGGGCATATGTTATAAATGCATGTGGCAAGTCTATATAATTTTGTTCTTTTTGTTGAATGATCGAAGTGAACGCACTAATAATTAAAGTGAAAGGAAATGTATTGATCTTGGACAAAATGTTGTACATTTTTATTGATAGGAGATGCATGCCCATGATTTGGATGTTTTATACATTTTAAACCTTCAGTATTATAACACTAATTCTACCGTATAAAGTGAATTGTTATCTATGGAATTGGCTAGTATTATGAGGGTTCTCTACCGAAGAATGGGTTTAATGTATGCTTCTGGGTCCAAGTTTTTACATTTTATAGCCTGTGCGTAACTTTGAACCTTGAGATTATAGTTGTGTCAAGACACTGTTATATACCCCCAAATGTTGGATATCTGCGGGCATTAAATTTTATTTTTTTTAAATTCATATAATCTTTTTATTTTTCTAGGTTTCTGCTTGCTTTGTTGCACAAACATATGTTTTTTGTTCATGATTTAAATCCTTGTTGCAGGATTGGACTGGTTTCAACTTTAGAGAAATAATGGAGGACGTCGAGAAGATTAAAGGCACGGTATGTATGTTACATGACTATCTATAGTTTTAGTCTTCAATAATTTTTGTAGCATAAAAAAGGTCCCTATAATTTACTGCTTGGATTTCTAATTTGAGTGGCAGTAGGCAATGTGCTAACTTGACTTTTGAATATTAGTGCCAACATTTGGTAGCTTTATTATGAAAAATATTGACTGATGTTCAACTTAATAATACAAAATCTATTGATGTAAATTTGTTTTTATAACTGGTGATTGCAACAAATAAACATCTTCATTCCACCAAACTTTGCCTTGGGTTACTGTGCTTCAGGAAAGAATGTTTTAAGAGAAATAAATGCAGGTTTGGCAAATCAATTCAAAGGCTGAGTGCTTTCAGTGTCATAAATAATGATAGCATTCAGAAACTAATGTTTGAAATTTGATATGCTCATCAGGAAATTCACGCAGAAAGTCCTTAATGTAAAAATAGGTTTTTGAGTTTGTCCGCCGCATTAACAAATTTCATATAAGATTGCTGGTTATTGATTGTACGCTATCAGAAAGCATGCCATATTCAATTGAAGTTTGAAATTTTTACTTCTTGATGGAAACTGATTTCTTGGTAATTGTTCATTTTCAGGGTAACAGGCTATTCAAAGAAGGCAAATATGAACTTGCAAAGGCAAAATATGAGCACGTAAATTTCTGCTTCTTTTATGTCCAAGCATTTTTGTCTCCCTTTTATTTTTTCTGTGGGAGTTGGACTTGATTTAGCATCAATTACAATTTGTGAGAATCCTGATGTTGTCAAGCTTAGTATCACTTAAGCTCAAAATTCTATAACTTTTGGTTAGATGCATTTTCCATTAAAAAATGTTGTATACATATTTGGTAATTATTTTACAGGTACTTCGTGAATTTAATCATGTCAATCCTCAAGATGATGATGAGGGAAAAGAATTTTCCAATACAAGAGTAAGGATGACTATATGAAATTGGGAAGTCTTCTAAGTTCTAGTTAATCATTGTGTAGAAAACTCTAATTCAAGGTTGTTACCAGTAAAAGTCCATAGGATTTTTGGTGACTTGTGGAATTAATCTGTGCATTTAAAACTTTTCCTGTTTCTATCTTTCAATCCAAATGCTTGAAGAATTTGTTGCATCTGAACGTGGCTGCCTGCTTTCTGAAAATGGGAGAACCAAGGAAGTCAATTGAAGCATGCAATAAGGTAATTGTAATGCTGTATTTGGTCTGTCGAGCTTATATATTACTATCATTGTGCTGTTGAAACTAGTTCTCGGTAGTGTAATTTTAAATTTTGGAATTTAGGTGCTAATTATGTCCTTCTATGCACCCCTTCTGTATGCATTCATGCTTTATCCTTTTTGATGCAAAAAATACTGTGCTTTTTCTCGTTTCAGAGGAATGCAGAACTAATGGTGAGTTTAGAACTAATGACAGTCTGAAACGAATATTTGAATTTTCTAGGATTCTGATCTGTATAGGTTTCCATGCCCTTACTTTGGGCTTCTTATTTTTGAATTCCATTATCATCTTTTTCTCTTGTTTTGGGGAGCGAGGAAAGACGAAAATTGACAAGCAAATGTCGTGTAAATCCATACTGTAGCTGCAAAATCATGCTATAACTACACTTCCAACCGTCTTTGGTTCACATTCCATAGCATTCGATAAAAGAGTGAATGAATGCACAAGCTGCTACTGCGCTATTCATGCTTAAGCAATTTTCCTGTTTCACAAAAGTTCCTATTAGCCTGAATTTCCCATGAACTTTTGCAATTTTCCTGTTTCACAAAAGTTCCTTTGAGCCTGAATTCCCCATGAACTTTTGCAATTCGGTTGTTTCAGATGTAACAAGTTAATGCGTGTTTCTATGATGTTATACAGGTGTTGGATGCAAATCCTGTTCATGTAAAAGCGCTCTACCGCCGTGGAATGGCATACATGTCTGCTGGAGATTTTGAAGAAGCTAGAGAGGATTTCAATAAGGTATATTACAATTACCTAATTAACTTTGAGCGTGCAATAGGTTACAATTAACTAATCAAGTTTAAGCATGTTATAGATGATGACCATTGATAAATCTTCCGAGTCAACTGCAAAAGCGGCTCTTGTTAGCCTCAATAAAGAGGAGCAGGTTGGTTGAATTGAAACACGTTGGAATTTTGCTTCAAATCTATTGAATTTAACATTGGAAAATGCTCAAGGTACACCGAGGTGTCCAACATGGTGTCCAAAATGGACATCCGGCACCTCGATATTGGCCGAGGTGCCTGCCATGTCATGGCCCACCAGCACCTCGGCCAATATCGAGGTGCCGGGTGTCCATTTTGGACACATGATGGATGCCACAATGTACCCCAAGCATAACCCTGTAACATTTGCCTCCCTCTCATAAAACAGGAACTCCACAAAAGGGCTCGGAAGCAATTTAAGGGACTGTTCGACAAGAAGCCTGGAGAGATTGCAGAGGCTGGAGTGAGCGATACAGGAGATCAAGTTCTTGACGAATCCCACGAGATTGATGATGGGGATGATTTAGATAGTAACGGAAATCCAGCTACTGCTCGAATTCATTTGCAGAGTAACAAGGAGAATGTTCCTCAGGCTAATGCTCAAACTCGTATGGGTTTTTTGTCCGGTTTTTGGCCTAGTGGCAGAAGATTTTTCACAGCCCTTGGATTAGACAGATGTACCATTTTGTGAGTTATAGTATCTTAGATTCTTCTCATGCGAGCCAAACGAACTTGGATTTAACTTTCAAGGAAAATCACTTGTACCAATTAAATAATGTATGCCATTACAAAAGGGCAAGACAAAGTGAGGCGATCGTAAGAGCAGAAATTACTTGGTTTCTTGAATGAAATTGGAGGAATTTCCTTCTGTTTTACTTATGCTTTGAAATTTCACTTGCTTCTGTTGAGGATTTTCTGTTTTTCGATTAATTTAAAGTAAATAAAAATAGACTGCATGGAAAAATTCTCTAAGGCTGCCGGGCCTCAATGGCCACCTGGTTTTATTATTCATTTCGTCTTTCATTTATTTGATCATTGTCTTCAAATATTGTATGAAGTAAAAATGAAAATCACACCAAAAATTTAAATCGGACTTCGGAAAGAAGGAAATCAAAAAAGAAATACACAGACAAACTTGAGAAGCGCACACACACAGAGTATAACTACACTTTAGGAGCGTCGTTCGCCGCCATATAAACCGCCGCAATCGGACGGTACTTGACGATAAAACACCCCACCGCGTGGCCAGCCACCGCAACAATAAAAATTCCGACGTTGAAGGACATGACAGAGAGCATGATCAAGTAAGCAAGAGCCATACGAACAGCATAAACAGCCGCCTGAAGCAACCCACCACTCAAAGGCCTCATCCTTGGCTTTATAGGCACCGCCGCCAAGATTTCAACCGCCACCGCTAGCAAGAACACAAAGGCCAGAGCCAGTATGTACATACCAAGGCGGCCGTTTGGCCACCCATCAAACAGAACCACCACATCTTTGCCCCAAAAGAAGTTCATGTGCATGGCCATATCATTCATGTTCATACTGTTATTGTACATGGAATCAGGTGACATGGGCATTGGCATGGTGCCATGGTCATGATCGTGAGACATTTTTTGGGAGGAGAAGAGAGAATTTTGTATGGGAATTAGACAGATTTAAAGATAGGAATACTTTGTGGGGGTGTCGATTATTCATATGCTTCTTGGAGAGAATACCAAAGATGCAAAATAGATAAATGATGCCATCTTTAAATTTTGGTTCTCCTAATGAAGTTTCGTCGTACTCAAGACTAGGAGATGGTGACAATTGACAAAACCTGTCAATTATCATTTTGACAAATTTGCACCTACTCAACCCAAACTATACGCGTTTTATAATTAGTATTAGTATGATATCATACATACGAGTGTTGCTACAATGATAGTTTCAGTGATAAGGTTAAAAAAAGGGACATACGTGACACAACATTATTGAACAGTTAGAAAAAAAATACATATAAGTGCTACCAACACAACACCAGTCAAAGCCCCCTGTTTAAACCTCGTTTGAATAGCATTATTGCATATGGAAATTGTACTTTCAATTCATCAGTCAATAGTTGTGGAAAACTCTACTAGCGTCCTCTGCACGCACCTTTGGGACCAATATGCATCAAAACAAATTATGAATGCTTGTTGTTATCATATTATTGGAAAAGGTAATTAACAAAAAAACATTCCTATCATTTGTACTCATTGAGAAAATAATTCATATCGTTTTAAACTTGACATTTACACCCTCATTTGAAACCTTTCTTGTGGATGTGATCATTTTCGCCATGCTCCATTAAATCCTAATTGACGCAAAACAATCCTATCTATCTTTATTACGCAAATCATCTCTATCGTTTCAATTTTGACACCGGGCACTTAGGTCCTCCTTTGTTTACGCAAAAGTTCCTTATCGTCTATTTTCATCATTAAAATATTGTAAAATAATCAATTTACCATATTCTTTAAATAAACAAATAAAAAAATTACATTTAGAGTTTCAAAATTTTTAAAAAGTACAAACGAGTCTTGTGTTAAACACTTTAAAACAGTGTAACAAAAGAACAATATTTTATTTTCCCAGTTAACACCCCTTACGCCCATCTCTTACTCTCCACCCCCACTACCAAAATAATTAAAAAGAGAATTAAAGTATTAAAAAAAAGTAACCAAAGAATGAATAATAATAATAATAATAATAATAATAATAATAATAATAATAATAATAATAATAATAATAATAATAATAATAAACGCATTTAGAGTTCCAATTTTTTTAGAAAGTACAGCAAGTCTGACATTAAACAATTTAAAACATTGTAGCAAAAGAAAAATATTTTATCTTCACAATTAATTCACCTACGCTTACCTCTACACTCATCCTCTCCTCCACCACCATCAAAATAATTAAAAAGAGAATTAAAAATATGAACAAAAAAAAGTAACAAAAGAATTTAAAATAGAAAAAATAGTTTTTCTTCCTCATCCAAATATCTTTTGCCTCATATATAGGAATTTATCTATTCTTGAATAAAATCAGAAGCATCATTTTTTTTTTTAATTCTTTTCTTTTTATGCTTTTAGTTCTCTTTTTAATTATTTTGATGGTGGTTTGTAGGGGATGGGCGAAAGGGGTGTTAATTGGGAAGATAAATATTTTTCTTTTCTTAGAAATTTTTGAATTACTTAACGTGAGATTCGTTTGTACTTTTTAAAAAAATTAGGAACTCTAAATACAATTTTTTTTATATTATTTCTTTCTTTTAAAGAAGATGGTAGATTATTCATTTTACGTTATTTTAATAGAGAAAATAAACATAAAATGTAAGGAAATTTTGCTCAAAGAAAGGTCAAAATTGAAACAAAATCTTTCAAAAATATATTATCAGGTCCCCAACCTTCTAATATAATCATTTACATCTCAAATCTTTTAATAAAAGCATTCTCTAGAAAATGCTATCTGGTGCAGGTCAAAAGGACATAATTTCTTTATTCACTGCAATTTTTCTCGAATGAATTGATATTATGTCTTGCACCAGTTTCTTGATATTGCCATGTGATGACCCACCTTCATGAATGCTATCATGGGCCAACCTTGCATTCTTCACCGTTGACGCCATGACTTCTTCAACCTTATTCTCCATTACATCTCTTACAAGTTTTTCCACCGTTGATCTGTCACACGTGTCCTTCAAATCAAGCCCTACTTTCCACATTTCACTCACACACCTACTGTTCACTTGTTGGTCCGCAATCATGGGCCAACAAATCATTGGCACACCTGAATAAATACTCTCCAAAGTAGAGTTCCATCCACTATGGGTCAAAAACCCACCTATAGCTTGATGGGCCAGAACATCCTCTTGTGGGGCCCAACTAACTATACAGCCCATTTCCTTACTGGCCCATTTCAGTTCCTCTGGTATGTTGTTCGGCCCATTATAGTCCACAATCAAGTCGGGCCTAATGGCCCATAAAAATGGCTTTCCACTGTTCACAAGCCCATACCAGAACTCCAAGAATTGGTCATGAGACAATACAATGACACTGCCGAAACTAACATACAGTACTGATTTTGGGTGCTGAGCATCAAGCCATTTGATACAGGATTCATCCATTTCGATCAAACTTGATGAGTTTTTGGATGGAGAATCAACGATGATGGAGTTCAAGAGTGAGTGCAATGGACCAATTGTATAAACTGTAGGAAAAATAGACTGTAGATGAGTGATCATTGGAGTTTCCAGTTCTTGAAAAGTGTTGAGAATGAGGGCAGAAGCTCGAGTCATTTTCGAGGCCTGGGTAATGTAAAACTGCAGAATCGGGCTATCGGGTTCTAGTTTGCAGATACTTGGAAGATCTCGGCGTCTTAAAACGTTTTCCAGCCCAGGAATGCAAGAAATTTGCTTGTCCATGTCTTCATTTCCTGCTATCATGTAAACTTTTTAGTGATAGGACAATCAGGCAGGGACACAGGTGTATTGTGTATTGGAGTCAAATTTACTCCAAGTTAACTTTCTTTTTCCAATGCACAGTGCCTTATCTCAGCTTTTAGGGTAGATTAAGGTCGATCCATTGTGCTCGATAAACTTTTTCAGTAGTGAGATTGTGTGTTTTTAATCTTTTAAAAGTAAAGTTCAGGGACACGACTTATTTGAATTTATGAACTTAGACATTAAAATGGCAGGTAATTTTCATTTAATTTGAATATAACATTTTTGTCCTCTAACTATGAATCATACGAGAGTTGTGTGCAATTCTAACGTTTACATGATCCCAGTCGTTTCGAAATCTAAATTCACCAATTTGAATAAGATCGGGATCCCCGAAATCACCCGTTAGAGATTAATGACTCATAACCATATGATGTGAAAGGAGCACAGGACTGATTTTTCCCAGCTGCTATCATGACATGTTTTGAGCTAACTTAGGCGGTATTGAATTCTTTACTTTATTGTTCAATGGATTAAAATGCAGGGCGGTGTTGTGCACACAGCATCGCTTACAGCTCTCTCACAGCTCGAAGGGTCCACGCGCAATAAAAAATTTGCACCCCCCACTTGTGAGGGGGCTGTAACAAACAGCAATTTCCTTAAAATGCATCACCCTCCATTAGACAGTGAATGGACTCGCGACTAACTAGACATAAGTATGTAGAGCATCCACAATGTTATTATGAATTGCATAAAAAATTTACTGACACAAAAGCAAACTATCAATTTTCAATACAATGTTGAGGGACTTTGTCTAGCTATGGCGAAGAGGTTTACTTAGAAATAGAAGTTTTGTTAGATGAGATGAATCAACAAAAATTTAAGCCATCTCTTCTTATTTTTCTCTCATTTATTATTTTCTCTCTCCTATTATTAATCATAAATAGTATCAGTATTACTCAAACTCAAAATTTAAAGGTACTGTTGGTTTCCATTTTCATTTTCAAAACGATTTTTAGTTTTCCCTAAAAACGGTCCTTTTTGAGCGTTTACGACATTATAACTGAAAATACTGAAAACGATAAAAAGTCGATTTGCGTTTTCAATTATAAATTTTAACTCGTTTTTTAAAATGTGTTTTCGAAAATGACGGACAAAACGCGTTTATCGCGTTTTCGAAAACGAAAAATGAAAAATGGGCCGAAGACGGCAAACCAACGGCCCAAAAGTTCTAGCCATTTTTTTTACTACGGAGAGATTAATAGGTTAGTTTTTATCATGATTAAAAGTGAGATTTTTACCTTGAAGAACTGGAATTTCTCCATTCTGGATGAGCTTCTGAAGGTGAAAATAAATCCAAGTACAGGTTGCACTGTAAGTCCGGAACGTGATAACAGGTATTCCAAGCTCATCGGCGACATCAACAGCAAATGACATAATCCCATCTGCTATAATACACGTCGGTTCCTGGCTAACAGAAACAATCAGATTCCTGAATTCCGGCTTGCTCACTGAACTAGTAGAAAAGAACAAGTCAACAACGGAGGGGCCAGCCCTCGGATGCTCCGGCGGAAGCCCATCTGGAATGGACATGAACTGGAGTGTCGGAAAGAGGCGGCTGAAGGCTGGTTGATCTATGAGCTTGAGAAGCCGGCTGTGGTTGTGTTCAGTGTTGACGAAGGTGATGTTGAAGTTGCCGCCGTGGCAGAGAAGTTGAGCTAATATGAGCATGGGTTTGATGTGGCCTTGTGCAGGGAAGGGCAAAAGTACTAGATGAGGAGCATCCATGGCGAAATTCTTCTTCTCCATTGGACACTTATCCCTTATTCTGATTGCCAAAAGCCCTGTAAATATGGAGATATTTATATGGATTTTTTGTGGGTGGGGAAGGGAATTGAATGGGTGAAATAAGGCCTAGATATGATGATTTGATTAAGAATAAACAATTAGAAAAGGAGTGGTTACATCAGAAAGATGCCCAACAGCTATGGACAAAAGGTAGCTTCCAAACATTAACTGGCCCAGTTCAACTACAATCCTTCCCTTGGACACATTGAGCGGCTGTCTTGTGTAACGCTCTATCATTAATGATAAGTGTGTTTTGACTATGTTCGAGCAACATTTTTTTCAAAAAAATATATTTTTAAATAATAATTTGACATTATTTTAATTATATATTTTTCAATAAAATAATATTACACGTAAATTCAAAATCTTTCTTTATTTTTTAACCACACATTTCTTATCAATACACTATTCAAATATGCATTTATATGAATATAATGTGACTCAAACAATGGCTTTGTATATTTAACTAAATCATTAATTTAGAATATTTTGTACTATTTTTGATAAATTATAGTCTAATCTTATGTATTCATCTTTTGTTAGAAACAACTCAATAAAATGACGTGTATTGGACAAAAGGAGCGAAATTTTGGCTAAAATGGAAGAAATTCAGAGTTTGGTGACCAAAGTGCAAATATCCAATTGTTGATTCAAACAAAAAATGATTATTGAAAATCACATAGGATCAATTGAATGCAATTAGATGTCAAATGAATAAAGCACTGAAACATAGTTAAAGTATTTTCACTAATTCAGATTTTCAGCCGTAGATTGAGACTCATTTTTTTGCTTAAATAAAGGTTCAAATTGAAAAATGATATTTCGAGAATAATTGTAATCATTTGAGTTAGTTTTTTAATATACTTTGAATCACCTCAATTGAATATCAGAAGAGAAAGATATGACAAAAATATTGACAAATATACAAAAACATAACAATGCGCAACGAGAAAACAACTTTGCTTATTTGATTGGAACTCGTTTGGAACCCAATTTGAACAATTTCTTGATCTAATTTCACCTTCTATGTATCAAGAACATGGACAAATGTGATCTCTCTTTAGCCTCTTAATATACATTTAATGATACTTAATAACAGATTTATGTAATTTATTAAATTGAATCTTTTATTTAGGCCATGTTTGATCCACATTATTTGGAAAAAAAATATATTTTTAACGGTATTTTACATTATTTCAACCACATATTTTTCAATAAAATAATATTATACGTAAATCAAAATTTTTTCTAACTTTTTAACTATACATTTCTTATCAATACACTATTCAAAAATGCATTTTAACGAAAATGTGTCTCAAACAAGGACTTAATGACACTTAGTGTCATCTATATTGGTGTTATAATATTAGTGGTACAAAATAACATTACTCATTTAATTTTCTTTCAATAGGAAAATTATTGGGGTTACCGGACTCACTTTTTCTTAAATCTTATGGGACGTGTTTGTTCTTGATTTATTGTGCTATTTGATGCATATTTCAGTACTTTTTAATAATAATTTAGCTTTAGTTGCTCTGGATGCCTGGATTTGTGAACTGAAGACAGAAATCAGATTGCAAGTTTTATAGAGAATAACTAGGATCTGATTCCTTACAGCTAAGAACATGAGTGGAGGCCCCTCATGGGGTGGCCGAGTTGGTAGAATATATGAGCGCAGAGGCCTTTGGTTACGAGTTCGATTTTCTCTACCAATACTTTCTCGACTGAGTCTATCGCACTGGACTTGTCGAGTGCGGTTTATCTGGCTAGCACGGTTTGCAGACTGTTGCGTCAGTCCGAGGGTTTACCTAGTGCACACCAGAAGGGTAGGGTTGTGGGTTGCCTAATGTTGCTGCCATTTATTTTCCTTGTCAAAAAAAAAAAAAAAAAAAAAAAAAGAAAGAAAAAAAGAATATGAGTGGAGATGTAATGCCATGTCATCTATCATAAATTTAGGTCCTAAATGTATAGAAAATGGCTAGGGACATGGCCAAAGTTGAGCAGAGGAATTCAAAGCGACTACAAAACTCAAATACTGTCAAAGAAGAGACTCTGTTGCACTCTGTAGATAAAAGTTTACAGTTTCAAAACAAATATAAGGTTTAGCACCCATATGGCAAGTCATATGTTGACCTCAATTTTTGTACTTCCATCTTAATTAATAGATTCTAAGGCCTATCGCATCCATGTAAGTCTAATTCTTGCATGCTAAGACAAATCATTAGCCACACTCATCCTTCGGTGGGGGTGGAATAGACCTCCCGCACTCTGACAATCAAGTCAGTTGAAGTCGTAAGTATATGAGTATGAAGGTACTTTAGACTCAAGCCTCCTATGTAAAAATGGGTTCGACTTTGGGAAAAGTATAGTAAGATGAAGGACAGCAAATTTAGAGCTTGAGAGTCTATACTTGCATGACCTGTGGAATTATGTGAGCTTTTTATAGTAGAATAGGATGAATACTGACCGTAGGAAGAAAGTATACGTAACCTCATCCTTGCGACTGAGACCTCTTGTTAGAGGTATCAATAAATCATAAGTATTTAATGCTAATACCATTTTGCTACTCAAAAGTCTAACATAAGACTTAGACTTGATCTGATTGGCTGAATAGGATGACGATAACACTGAATTGTCATAAGTGTGTTTTTGTATACTTATTTAATACTTAAATTAAACTTATTATTGATTAAATGAGTGGATTTCTAATTGTAATTGTGTAATTTATGCTTTCATAGGTAAAAATTACCCAAAGAGGAGAAAATAAAGGAAGAGACAAATAATTGGAATCGTACAAAAATCGTGAAGTTGGGGACCAAATTGTCAAAAAGTTAAAAGGACCCAAGTTTGAATTTTTAAAGGAGATGATTGATATAGAAGTCAAAATTCAAGGACCAGATTGTATAAGATAACAGTTGAGAAACCTGAACTGCAATTAAGCCAGGGACTAAACTGAAGAAGCGCCAAAAAAGATAACCAGGACCATGTTGGTTTTCATTGAGAACTATAGGAACTTGAGCTGCAAATTTTGGACGGTTGGCTAGGTTTTTAAAAGAAAAACATGAGCAGCCTTTGTATCTTCTTCCACTTTACTTTATCTTTTCATTTGTCGTTTTCCTCTTCTTCTTTTTCTTTTCTTGTTCTTTCCATAACTTTTTGATATTTTGGGGGGCAAAATCAAGAACATAAAAAAAAGAGGTGGAGAGATTTTGAGAAAATCAAGTTCAAGCTATTAACAGTTTCAAAAATCCAACAAAAGGGGGTTGTATCTTTAGTGTTGTATGTTCTTTATTATTATCTTCTACTTACAATGTATTGTATGAAACACTACCCTTTTTATGATTTGTAAAAAATTGGCTAGTTATTTGTATTGGGATTTATGGTTGAAATTTAACCTAACTTTAATTAATTTAAGTGTTTGCTATTTAATATTAGAATTACTTATGTTCATGCGTTTTAACTATTGTAGTTATCAATTTTCATTGATATGGCCAATAGAGGACTGTGTTTAATAATTTGTACATTGTTCGAGAGAATATTGTGCATTTTAAGCCAAATAATAAAAATCATAGGTTCTTATAAGGGATAGAAATATACCCCTAACCTTAGTGACCATTGAGCTATTTTCATAAAGATTTAATGCGATTGTTTGATTTTAATCAACATATAGATATAATAGGTTAAACCAATTAATTAGTATTAATTTTGCTCGAAAGAGATAATTAACTAAAATTGGAAAATCAATTGGATAATCAATCTATTATCATGAATGAGTAATTTTTTTATTGGCTTGTAGTAAATTAATTGGGCGGAAATTAAGCAAAACCATAAATTCTAATCATATTTTCCTCCTAAATTTCCAAATTTTATACTTTCTTATGTGATAAAGTTTTAGTTTATTTTTTCCTTATTTTAAAATCAAAATCTTAATGTGCATATTTTTTTGTTAGAATTAATTTGATTAAAATAGTGTAATCGATAGTAAACATTCTTCGAGGGATGAACAATTATGACTAAAAAAGTTTACTTTGTTACTTGAATGTGACCAATGCACTTGCGGTACGTAATTTCAACGAACAATTGTCACATCAATCACTTACTAAGGATTGCATAAAAGATCTCCTGATAAGTTTCGTGTAGCCTCGTATTGACTCACCCCACCATGAGGATTCAATTCTTCATATGGGATTGACTCCAAAAAGATTCTGCCAAACCACCTCTTAGGCGGAATGACATGAAGTGTGGGCACACATACAAGTTTCTGGAGTCTTATTGGAAGAGGCGTAACAATAGTCTCGGAAGTCCATTTATGGATATTGATATAATGTGTTGACTTTTAAGTTGAGATTTATTTGTCGTTGACTTGTTCTTTATTCCATTTGGGACATGTTCCGTTTTGCAAAGAAATAGTGTCTGTTAACTTCAATTTTTGTACCTCCAACAGATCCCAATGCGGCATCTACATAAGCCTGATTCCTTCACACTAGGATAAACCGTTATCCACACATCGCTTCCTCTAGTGATGGTGGAATTGGCTGCGCACGCTCCGACAATCAAGTCAATTGAAGTTGTAAGTATTGAGTGTGGGAGGTGCTTTAGACATGAGCCTCCTATATAGAAAGGGATTCGACTTTGGGAAAATATAATAACAAGAAGGATAGCAAAGTTATAGCTTAAGAGTCCATACTTGCATTACTTTTGGAATGGTACATTGTGTGAACTTTTATAGTTGATAGGATAGATATTGATTGTAAGATGAAAGTATACATGGCTTCATTCATGCGGCTAACGCTTCTTGTTAAATGTATCAATCAATCATAGGCATTTAATGCTAATACTATTTTGTTGTCCAAAAGTTTGATACAAAATTTAGACTTGACTTGATTGGCTGAATAGGACGATGATAGCAATGAATTGTCATATCAATCACTTACTAAAGATTGCATAAAAGATATCTTGTTAAGCCTCTTGCAGCCTCATCTCTCGCCATGCTGGTTCAATTCTTCATGTGGTTTACTACAGCAAATCAGTTCATGCCTCCATAGAGGTCTGGCCCCTTCAGGTGGTTCGGTCAAACCGCCTCTTGGGCAGAATGACATGAAGTGCGGGTCCAAGTTCACTTGCCGTTAACTGCCATGTAGGAGTGTCTGGAGCCTCGTTGGAAGAGGCCTAATTGTGAATTGAGACGGGGCACAATTATTGAGCACAAGATTCAATTTATATCTTCAGAAAATATGTCATGTTTAAGGATATGTTAAAGATGATGAGCTTGGCAAATTTACCGGGCTTTCTGCAGCAAGTCAAGAAGCAGGAAAGTATTCCAGAGAAGGCTTTGAGCTTTTTGATTTGAAGCGTTTGGAGAAATGGAAGTACAATGAACGTATGCCTGCAGAAGGTCATGGAAAAGTAAGCATCGCTCAGTAGTTAGTGTTTTGGGTAAGTGAACCTCATTCAAATCCAAGAAAACTACCGTTATCCCATGGTTTGAATCCAAGTTCACTATATAAAGAAGAACAATCCCCATCACACAGTTCGCGTTTTAATCCATCACCACACAGTAAACAGACCCATCGCATATTTCACATGATAACTTGTCTCAAGGAGAAGAAAAGAATAAAGGTGTTAAAAGGTACAAAGGAAAAGGCACATGAATTGAAGTTGTTCAAGTTGACCGAAGTAGCAGTACCATTGATGGTCTGCAGGACAATTTCTCTGAGAAAATTGAATCTCATGGTGGGAGTGGTTTAAATTTTCATCTTTTGTGTAATCTTCAGCACTTTATTTGTGTTTTATTTCTTGTTTTATCCATCCAGTTCTCTTCCAAGTGCGTGGAATTTGTCTCAAAAAAAATAAAAATAAATAAATAAATAAATAAATAAGTAAAATCTTCAACACGATACAGAACAACACTTGCAGCTTTCTAATGATGTAATTACCTCTCAAAAAATCCACATCCACAGACGTAATTCATTCAAGAACAAGTAAAAAATATATAGATTCAAAGACTTAACATCTGGAAATGTCACAGCTAAACAATGTATATGCATATTGCATATTAATTGCAAATTTTTGTCAAAGTCGAAAGTACAGATACGACTCGGAAGTTTATAACTGGTATCTGCCAACTAGTAAGTGTATTTTTGCTAGTCTGCACTTATCTTCAGAGGCTTCCTGGTCTTGTGAACTGTTTACAATATTTATGATGGGATATTAAAGTGGAAAAGCCAAGATATGACAAAAGCAAATACCATGCAAGCAAGAAGAAAATTCAAAAACCGATGACCATTTAAGCAACTTCGACTGTCTGTAACCAGGGAAGCTGGAGCTGATGATGTATTTGTTTCGACAGCATTTGTTTCATTTGCTTGTTGTGCACCCTCAGTACTATTCGGGCCAACAACATTGCGTGCTATTGAATTACATATTTCACAAGTCCTGGCAAAGAGAAGTAACATAAGAAATTTGGCAGTAAAATATAAGAGAGCAGAAGAAACAATGAAATGATACACGTAAACAAAGTTGGCATAGAAAATTTTTCTTCTTTCATGAAAACACTACATCTTCATTTCTTGCAAGGTTCGTGCATACTTGGCGTAGTTAATCTTGATCAAGTTTTAAAGAAAAGGGTCTCATATTTAACTGCATTACACAAAAACATATTCTGTCTATTTCCACATTCAACCAAAACAATTTGATGTCATATTTATTTACAATACCACAAAATTAAATGGCATAAATAATGCAGGCTAAAAATCCAACCGAAACGCCTTGACACTATAAATGCATAAGATTAAATAATGGTGACTGATAGGAGGCAAGATTATCACTAATGAGTAATGAAGCTACAAACTCCATAGCCACCACCCCCCCCTCTCTTCCTCTTCTTGAAGCAGATGAACGTCGTCTTGTCCATAACCCAGTTAGACAGCAAATTTTTATCATCTTAGAGGATCTCAACCAGCTTCATGTTGATAGGGATCCAAGGAGGTGTGGATTTCCTTGACAAGATCAGAAATTTTTATCATTACATTTTTGAGCTTCTTATCATTAACTACACTGTCGCTTATAGTAATAACTTTGTAAATAAAGATACTGAGAGTAAAGACTAATTAAACAAGTGCCAACTGTCATAGAAAAGGAAAGAAACATAGCTGATATACAACATTTTTATTAGATTTCTGTACTTAATTCACAGATATAATCATTTATGGGACACCTTTCCATAACAAATGACAATACTTACATGAATATTAACAAGTAGATTCAGCATCACTTCGAAACGAAAAGTTCCATTACAAATTTATGAACAGATATTTCTCTTAAAAATCATAGTGATATTCAAAAAGCAAGACCAGAGAACATTAATCTTTTCGCACAAAATGTACTGAATATATAAAATCTACCCTTAAATAAAGAAAGAAAAGAGAACCTCAAGAATGAGCTAGCAGATAAAATTCATAAAAACACATAATGGAAAGGAATCGACGGTGTTATTAGAAATTTAAAGCAATCCTTCCAACTGCTTGATTCTTTTGCTTTACTTTTTGCTATCATCTCAGTAACACAATCTTCTTTACCTTTCCTTTCCACTCTATTAAATTTTCGTATCCGTAATCAAAACAAACCCATCTTGTGCAGTACCAGTAAACTATACGAAAAACAATCAAAGTACACAGAATTATCGTAGGAATATTAGGTCGATTTGAGGTTGAAGGTAAGTGTACATTACGATTAAGCTAGACTGTTCAAGGGCTAACTGGAGAAATCTACGAAGCACTGACATGGAGTCTCATTATATACACAAATCTTAAAATGCAAAACAAATTTCACATGATCACAACAATTAAAAAGAGAGAAAAAAAAAAAAAAAAGGAAGAAGAAGAAAAACTCGAGCTTTAGGATTCCTCACTTGTTCCCTTTAATTTTGAACCAAGTTTCTGCACAATGCTTATGAGCAGCAGCCAAATCATCCTTACAAGAACAGCCCAACTCAATGGCAACCCCAGATTCAGGGCTACTACTCACCAAACTCAAATGGCATATCCTACAATCTCTCTTAACCCTCTCCAAATGCACCTTAATTTCTCCAAACCCACCATTTTCTATATCCACTGAACAATCAGAAGAATCAGAATCAGCCACTGATGAAACTCTCCTAGAATCCATAACCTCTTCCTCCAAAATCACACCGCACTCAGAGCCACAGGCAATGCTGTAATCATCATAAGAACCCTCCCCATCAACCGTGGAGTAAAACTGAGAGTAACAAGAGCCCTCATCGGCGTCGGAGAGAAAAACTATACCCTCTTCCTCCTCCTCGACGCCGTCTTCGCCGCATTCTAAGTCTACCTGGGATATTTCTGAAGTCGACATTATGTAGACCCAAAAGCAAAAAGCTGTTATTCAACGTGGAAACAGTTCATTAAAGCTTCAAGATTGGGTCTTTTAAAACCCCTAGTGAGTTAAATTTAGCAGCTTAACATCTGTCTTCGTATTATGTATATCTGTGAGTTATCAGAGTATAATGTGAAAATTTAGCAACCAGCATTGGATTAGGTGACCGTTTCAAGTCTTCTAGTGGGTCATAATTTTACTCTCTTTCACACACAACGGGAGAGAGGAAATTTTGAGCATTTGCGTGGAAATGCCTAGAAGTGAGATGGTGTTTAAGATGGCAAAGAACAACAATTATGAAAGAGAGACGGACACAGTCGGAGAGTTGGGGGATCCGAGAAAGTAATAGATTGGGGGTGGGCAAGCTATTCGTCTAGTCGACTCAAAATGTCAAATCGATCTGACTCAAGCTGGTTTGGAGGAAGAATATTGCCTTGAATACGGGGCATTATTTCTACGAGGGCAAGGCCCCAGGGAGGTCGGTGGGTCCAATCTGTATTAAGAATAAAAAATTTGAGCGAGCCTCATCAATATGTCTAACTTGGCGGAGGCCTGTGCCTGTACCTGAAGCACCACTTTTGGAGGAATACTGATCCGATTTGAACCTTGCTTGAGGTACAGGTACTCACAACATAGGTGGGGGTGGAATGGGGTGGGGTTTTGACATTTTTTTATATAGGCAAATCTCGCACGGGACTCGCCAACTGTGATTGCCTGTTGGAGTTCTGTTTCACAAAGCCCCTGTACGATCAGTAAAATCCATTCAATTTTCTGTTGGCCTAAGCAAATTCGAATGAATAAAGCTCCTTCACCTTAAAATGTTTGACACTTTAATTGACATGTATTAATATTTGTGTGGTACTCGCATGGGATTTGCATGAATAAAAAATGCCAAAAAAGTGCTCTCATGTGAATGTGCTATCGGAGAGGATGTAGTGACGTGTCATTTTCTTATCACTTGAACTCAATGAATTGAACCAACTCTAGTCGATTTGAATCGGTATATTCCTTTTGTCGGTTAGATTTCACTTTGGGATTTCATTGTCGGTTCCATTGTTGGGCTGAATTTGAACCAAATCCGACCCAATCCACATCCACCCTTAAGTGCAACACGTTGGAGATTAATGACGTAATTTATCAATAAGTAATGTTTTGATGAGTCATTATTATAGGGCGGGACTAATAATGGAATTGCTCTTAAGAACATTTGATAAGTGTGTGCATCTTGATCAAGCCATAATAATGACCAATAATTAAAGATGAAATGCTCTTATACACATTTATTTTTCTTTATTTTAAGTAAACTTTCATGATAATTAATTATTAAGTACAATAATAAGACTTTAATTTAATAATTAAAGTTTAGCTTTACGCTTCATTAATATATAATCATTTTGCTTCTGCGCTGCCTACACGACAAGTTGAAAAAAGAACTTGTAAATATAAAATAATAAAAAGTAACTAAATAAAATAAAATAAATTCATTTAAAAAAATGTAAATGGAATCTCAAGGGAAATGTGTATTTAAAATCATCAATGCTCCTGTATTCGTTAACGTGTGTCACGCTACGTTCACATGCATTAGGTTATTATTGATTGGTCTTTTGATATTTTTGATCGGTGCACGGTGCATCAATATTTTAGTAGCACGAGTTTTTTTTTCTTATAATTTCAAAATTAGTAATTACTTTTGAAATTTTTAAGTAAAACATGCTCGTAAATGACCATTTTTTAAATTATTGTGACTTGAATGAATCCATAATCATTGTTGTCTCTCAAGATTAAATATAAAACATGATTTAATACGAAATTTGAATGCTTAGCGAGAAATGAAAAGAGGGTATTTGTATACGTCGGGGTGTGTATACTAGAGTTAATTACGCAATGGTCAATAGATAATAGTAGTGAATTTTGCTCTAATTTCACAACAAAAATAAATGTCAAAATAATTTGTTGAAAAAAATGGGAGTCATGTTCATATGTACACAATGGTACACACATAGTATTATACTCCCCTCAAATAGAGGGGGCCAACATATAATAAATTATTAGCGAGTCCCCTACATGTGAGGAGAGCGTTACCCATGATGTGTACACATAATATTTTTCATTTTAAAAATACTTTTTTCGATTAATGGTTAAATTTTTGACACATAGAAGGTAACAATATTCTTACTCAAAAAATAAATATTTCTCTCATACATTTACTGGTGCCCTGGTTGTATCACAATGTCCAGCTCAGTGTCGTCATGTGGTGCCTTGTTTGACATTTTCTCACATGCGCATGAGTCTTCCATAAATGAAAAATCCAAAGAAAGTGGACTTCCGTTGTGAATATTGCTCAGGTTGTATTTTCAAACCATTTTTTGATAATATATCATGGTTCTTAATTCATTAGGGGTTTTTCTACTAGGACACAGGCCACGTAGGTCCTGTCCATCCACGGGCAACGTGGCTCCCCTATTGACTGGTTGGCAGCGGAAAATTTGCTTGAATTTCAAGCCACATGGCATTAATATATATTGTTAACCGATGGGAGTTTCGATCTAGGGTCGATGTGGAGTGATCTCAGCCCTCAATCTTGCAATACATGGAGCCTGGAGATTTTAAATCAGGGGCCTTGGACACGCCACCTCAACCCCTATTTCCAAACCTCTATCCCGAGTTGAGCAACATTATTGAAGCACCACTATCCAAAACAAGGTTTTAAAAAATTTTGAGTAAATTATTGAGATAATGTAAAGTCTAGACTTCATCGACACTATTTTTTGGTTTTAAATATTAAATCATGCTTGATGTTTCTTTGGTGCATACAAATTTGACAGTCATTTGACAATTAAAGAAAAAAAAAATAGTTTTCCCTTTAACAAGTTTTTAAAACAAAGTTAATGTCAAACATGATATACACTTTAAAGTTTATAAATGGCATTTCCCTTAAATATTATTTCTGAACTTCGTCTTTGACAAGAAATTTTGAATTTTCATCAATAAGAAGAATGAAAAAACAAGAATAGAAATTGAATCTTCATATATATATATATATATATATATATATATATATATATATATATATATATATATATATATATATATATATATATATATAGAAACTTTTTTCTAAAAAACGTAAAAATTAAAAAATAATATAACACATTTATATATATATATATATATATATATATATATATATATATATATATAATAACACCGAAAATTATACATTTCGAAGCAGATCAAGAAAATCTTAAATAATAGGTATGAACAAATGTTTGACATCAATAGTAAGTGGAAATTACCAGGAACCAAAATTTTTAAGTCATCATTTTAAAAATCAGGTTTAAAGTTTGTTTATATAAAAATCAGAAGATAATTCAATATTAATAATAGTATTATAGAATTAAATTCCAAACCTATTTCATTTTCTTCTTCTTTCTTTCTTTTTTCTCCATTCTCTCTTTATAATGTCTTCTACCCATTTTTTTTCCCTTCTTCACCAGTAGGTGCCAACCCCCCAACAGCGACAAACCCATCACTATTGAATTGTCGCTGTGAGTGATGAATCCATCGCCACTGAATGGCGCTTGAGTTCATCGCGCACAACAACAATTTAAGCAAGCGATGCTTAATTCGTTGCTATTAAGCGATTTGTGGTGGTGATAGTGGTAGTGACATGTGGTGTGCATGGCACTCACGATCTGGTAGTGATGATGGTGTTGGAGTTTGGTGTGTGTGGGGGTGGTTTTACGGCTGCTATGATGTATGGTGGTGTTGTGGTGGTAGGTTTGCATTGATGTGGTGTGGTGTGTAATGGTTGCTGTGATGGTAGTTTTGCACGATTTGGGGAGGTTGTGATCATTGTGATGGTCACAAGTTTGGATGGGATAGAGGTGTTTATGACCAATTATTTGATTGATTGTGAACAATAAAATGGTTAATTTGTAATCAATAAATAATATGTAACCTAAAAATGTGGTTGTGATCGAGAAATTACTTGTGATCAATTAATTTGATAGTTTATAACCATTAAATAAGTTATGACTTATAAAGTTTGTGACTTTGGCGATCGATGAATAAATTATGACCTATAAAATTTTTGTCATGTGTTCGAGAAATTCGATAATTTGTATAGAATTGTGCCCTTAATGTATGTAATTAAAAAATATATTTTTAATTAATTATTTCATAAGTAAAATATAGTTAATATCTAATTTTTGAAATTTTAAACCTTATTTATTAGTTTTGAAACTAGTCATACTTAATTTCTTAAATATGAAAATTTTCTAATAGTAATCCAAGGACTAGTTGGATTCTTAACCATCCACTAAGGGGGGCCACACCTGACGGAGGTGCAAATTTGGCCTAATCCAGTCCACTTGAAAGAATAGAGAGGCCCAAGTTCTTAACCCCATTGCTCGAGCAGGTCTTGTTCTTCTTCTGTATTGATTTAATTTTTATTGGACAACTTTGAAAATGAGATAGGAAATATTGAAAAATATCTTTTACTAAGATATAGGCTTACATGAGTGAATTACCGAAATGGTAATTGAATTTTGCAAAAAGTTTCCACGGGTCATTGAACTTTAAAAATCACCAAATTCATCACTGAAATTTGCAGGGTCCGTGAAAACCCTTTACAAAGTTCAGCGACCATTTGAGTAATTCACTTAAGTTTACATCTTAAAATGTTACTATTATTAAAATGCATAGTTCAAACTTTTATATTTTATTTAATATTTGAATCTGTATTAGTTTGATATTCTACCTTGACATCCATTTTGGTGTTAAATAGAACCAACTCAATTTGGTCGAATAGATAAATTTGACACCATTCAACTACGCCAAGAGTAAAAACAATACTTTGACATTAAAGATTACGATAAAAGTTATTTTTTGCTGTTTCATTGGGTCAAATCAACGAAGTAAAGTCCATGGTTAGTTGGTTCGGGAGGTTGGGGGTTGAGCTAGGCAAAATGTGGAGCCGTGAAGATGGACTGATCTTTTCTTATCTTTTTCATTTTCCTGTTTTCATGTCACTCATTTCTATTTCCTCTCTTACTCTTAAAATAGTATTTCACCTAACACGTCGTTTAACGGCAAATTGGAAAGTTCTATTCATTGGAGTTACTTGTTTTACGATAATGAAATATTGAGAACTAAAATCATTTTATTTTAAAGTCAGAAATCCCAACTTGTAATTTATACTAGTCACAAGTAGCAAATCATAGAAATTAATGGGAAAAAAAAAATTATTGCCGAAGCCAATCCAAGGGGGGCGCGCGCACACACACACACACATATATATATATATATATATATTAGTATAGTTCAAGTATTTCACATATCCTTTATAATAATTAAAAAAAAAATTTATGAAGTAAATTAGAAAATTCCAGGTGCAGGGGCTTCAGCAAGTATTGCGGCTACCGGACCAGGGGCGACGTCACCACTGCTCGAAAGCTCCATCATGGCACGATGAGGGTTGGACTTTTGTTTCTCACAAAGGGCAGGCAGATATACTCCTGCACATTTTAGGCATCATAATTTCATTTCAATCGAGTACAACATTGAGTAATAGATGTCCTTTTTTTATTAAACTTCAAGAAATTGAATGGCAAGTAAGGTATAATAATTCATTATCTCTTTAATCAATTGTAATTTTTATATATTTATTATTTAGTTACCTTCTCCGGCAGCCATGTTAAAGTAAAGGTCAACAATGTTGGGGCAGTTCTGATAACACGCTGGAGAGCAAAGATTGGCGGTGAATTGTGGCGCAAGGAAGGCATCGGAAGATATTCCGACAAATCTCCGGTCAACCCCACACGCACTCACACACTTATCAGTCTCTATGTGACCGGCCATTGTCGACACAGCCACCTCCGATGTCTTACACGTGAACTCCAATTTCCCGTCGTTGTTTTGGAAGTTCTCCAGTACACACCTCTTCCCAGATGATGCAATTGCAAAGGAACAAAGATTGGTGGGCAGAGTCTCACAAATCACCTCACCTGTAGATTTTAAAGATTAGGTATTAATTCTTGACTAGCAAAGCATATAAATGTTTGGAATTTGGATTATTCTTTTAACCTGATAAATTTTTAAAATCAAACCTCGAGACTCAGTAAGAAACTTGTTAAAATGAGTGCTGGTGCATTTTTAATATCTAACGTGAGTTTGTGTAAAATGTATACGTTTGCCTCGTTTATCATAGAGTGATATAGGCTATCGTCTGTCCTAAAAAGGTGTCAAAACATGCCATTAGATTTACGTATAAAATTGTTTGATGCACACGAATAGAGTAATATACCTAATGTTCCTTGTAGGAAGAGAGAGCATGCAAAGAAGAGAATGAATGACATTCTCATTGAAGAAGCCATGCCTTTGTCGATGCTGTGTTTTTTGCTTTTGGTTGTGGTATTTGTGCTTGGAGTGCACAAATCAATGAGATATCAAATGGGTTCTTAAGAAAAATTGAAGGGAGTATTAACATTTATATAAGGTGGGGGGAGAGAGAGAAGAACCAAAAATGGACTTAAACGTGGACACATGTATAATTTGACGCATTCTACAATTAGGGACGCGTTTGGCTGCTAATTAACAACTGGTTGGGGAGGGTGGCTTATAGGGATTGGACAATAATGGAGACCACGTACTAATTTTGCTACTTTTTTTTATTGATTTTTTGAAAATTTCAAAGCAATTTCATTGGTTTAATTTTCTTGAGGTTTGGTAAATTGGTATGTAATTTGTTGCAGCCGGGTTGGGATGTCTCTGCGTGTTGAAGTTTTCTAACTCTTGCGAGGGTGGCTTCAAAATTAAAACACTATATATTATATATGGATTTATTTTATTTTTTTTCAATGTTGTAACTAATGGAATAAGCCTCCATTTGACTCCCATTTTGTGGAAAAATTAATGGTTGGCATAGTATTTTTTTGAAAAATGAGTAGATGAAAAAGAAAGAAACGTTTTCCATTTATGTGTAATATTATTTTATGGAAGATCGTGTGATTGAAAATAGGAGGGAAAAAAATGAAATGTAATAAAATGAAAATTAATTGGGAGCAAACGGCAGCTAAGTTGAGTTTTCGAGTACTTATTTGTTAAAAGACTTTCGAGTCAGTTCAATAATAAATGCCCATTTCGACATTCTAGTTTTCCGCATCTATTTCAGAGCTTATTCATTTATTGAATACATGGTTGATCTCATGCTCATATGATCTTGCCAATTAATCGATTTAGATCCCACCGTTAGATGGAAAGACCACAACTTGCCACTTCACCCAAGGTCCACGAATAAGATATCTTTGTCCTGTCATTCAATATACCAGCAATAACGAGATTTTACTTGATAGGACTTCCAATATATAGGCTTTGAACTACACAAATTCTAATTGAAATCCAGCGTATTAGACATATCTTAAATATATTCATACAATAATTAATAAAAAAAAGACATTTTCTTTTGTACGTAGTTGGTTCTTCTTTTTTCACTTTTTCATCGAAAACACATGCAAGTTCGTGGAATTATTTTATTTTTCCCGGGCTACGTTTAGGAATTTAATATGGAATAATACAGCCTTGTAATGGTGGCTATTGGCCTAATAACGTGTTTGGCAAGGTAAGGTACGACTAGAGTCAATCAATGTTATTTTAATCAACACATAAATTTTAAGAGATTTTGCACTTAGAGGCCCTTTAAGTTTTATAATTTTGCGCCAGTAATTTTCATTTGTTCTAACTTGTGTTAATGTTCTTGTATTAGTAGAATGGATCGAGGAAATTGGAGATATTTAGCCCCTGTAAAATAATTTACACATGAACACAATTTTTTTTCCCATTTTAATCATAAATTCTCTAAGAAATTACTATTTCAAAATACATTTCACCCAAAAAATGGATCTTAAACAAAGTTGCAATTGAAGAAATTGAAGATGTCAAAGACTAAATTTGGAGTTGGAAAAAGTTTGAAAACTCAATTAGAAGTTGAAAAAAGTTTGAGGGGTTAAAAGTGCAATTTATAGAGGGAAAATGGAGTGGTTGGAGTCTGGGAGTGGGGCCACCCCTCTCAACCGGGGCTAGCCTCGAGCTTTCCCAAATTATACCTTGTTTTAAAAAGGGGAAAATCATAATTAAGAGGTTAAGTACCATTTATTTCAAAACTTAAAAACTAAAGTTTCCAATTTCAAAAGTAAAATATTTATTATAATTAATTAATTATAAAATTTATTAATTAAATGTATTAAGGTCACAAATTTATACATTTTGGTCACAAATTAACAATTTAATTTGTCACATATTATTTTTCGATCACAAATCTGAATTTTTATTTGTCATAAATTATTTTACGGTCACAATTTGTTCATCAGTTACAAATAAAAAATTTATAAGTCACAATTTATATATCAATCACAATCTCACAACTTATTATACAGTCACAATTATCAAATTATCAATTTTCTAGATTACACATTATTTCTTGGTCACATTTACCTTTTTCATCGATCACATATTGTTTATTAATCACAGATTAACTATTACAAATTATTAAATTAATTAATCACAATTATAAATATAACAGCGATCGCATATTCTTCAAAGTCGCATGTTATTTACTGATCACAACACCCGGAAAATTGGTCATAAACAACCCACCCACCCCACCATTACACCGTTGACCACCACTTCGCCACTACTACTGCCACTATAACCACCAACAAGAATCACCAAAATCCCCAAACAATAACAAAACACTGAAATAACCACCACTACTCCCAGTGGCGGATCTAGGTGATGCCGATCGCCCTAACTGGATTCGTCGTAACCACCGTCCGTCGGAATGTAGCAGAGACAGTTGTTGAGATGCAAGGAAGAAAGAAGAAGAGGAAGAGAGGATTTGGGCTGGCTCAATCTGTGATGACAGACTTGGGTTGCTGGGTAGTTGGGCTTAGTGGGGGGCCTTTTTTTTTTTTTTTGCTTTAATTAGGTAGGCCCAATTACTCAAATACCAAATCAATGAAAATGGAAATCTTCTCCTAATCTCCTTCCCGTCAAACCGCAGCAGAGAGGAGCAAATTGGAAACCATTCTTGAGTTCTTTTTCCCCCAATTCCTTCCGCTCAATTCCTTCCCAAAAGCTTTCCACAAAGGCACGCACCGACGCACGTTCCGGTTTTAGCAAATCTTTTTGATCGACAACTCTGCTATATGATTTGTGAAGTATTGAGTCCGCCGTAGGTACTGGCTTTTTTCTGGCTTATATATTACATGCCCACATGCCACAAATGCATAGAAGTAGTTTAATTTTCCAATTTTGGGTTAGTTTAATTTTCTAGTTCTTTTCCTGATAGTAGATTCTTTGTTGAGTGAGGTTTAAGAAATTGGAAATCAAATTGTTTCATGAAGTAGACAATAGATTAATAGTTTAATTTTCCAGTTTTGGGTTAGTTGTTGGTAGATTTATTGCGTGCTCTTTACTTTGAATGATCTAATTGATTGGAAAATTTATTATGTGATTATGCAAATGTAGCGACTCAATTGGTTTAGATTTTATTAATTGGCCTTTGTTTAGGGAACATCGTAATTATTGAAAAAGTTTACATTATTGCAACGTTTTCAAAATATGAGATCTCGTAGAATTCAGTTGTCTAAATTTATAATTACAAAGTAAGATTGAAATTGTATTGTATATTATTATTATTATTTTGGATTGTATTGAACTATATTTTCATATGTATATAATTTTTACGTTTTGGTGGATTTACATATATATTGACTAATTTTTAATATTATTTAATCAAATTTTAATAAACGATCGGCGACCGATTGGATCGGGCTTTTATGATTTTGATTGTCGACGATCAATGGTCAAAGTCAACTTCCGTCCTAACTGAATATTCATACTAGATTCGCCCCTGACTACTCCAACAAAAAAAAAAATAAAAAAAAATAACACCCACCACCACTAATCGCATTGACAACTGAACCCACCACCAAGCATTGACGATCAACATCCTTACAAAATCATTTGAACCCACCATCGGGTAGCTATGCTGCTTCTTGTTATAGGCACTAGGCAGCACACAGCTGTGGATTTAGACTGTACATGGTTTCTTCTTGTTTCTGGTAATGGAGCAAATTGTTCAGAATTCCATGATTTTTTTTTTATTTTAGAAAAACGGGTATTTTTATTTATTTTATTTTTTTCACAATCTTCTTCTCTCAGTCGTTCCAAAAGTACCCAACAAATGGATGCACAACTGAGACGATTACTTGTATATCAAATCATTTAACCTTCAATTTACTCTTCCGCTGAATATTTTATTGTTGAATCTTGATTTTATTTTTTATTTTTTAACAAATCGCTCTCAAAATGCTCTAAAATCTCGAAGAAATTGGAGTTTGGCGACCTCAAGTATGTTCCTTTGTATTTTTGTTGTGAATCTTTGAGTTGTTTTTTTCATTTTCATTTTTTATTTTTTTGCAAGATTCTAACAAATTATTCAGAGAGGGATGGTTGGAATCAATTCGAGTAATTATTGAGTTGGAGATGTAATTTACGAAAATTCACCACATATAACACACTAATATTACTTTCAAAATAATCTAGCCCCTTATTGCATGGGCAATTGACTCGGATTGTAGATAAATTTAGATATTTGAATAACGAAACTACCGACATAGAAAGGGAAAAAAAATAGAAAAAAGAAACAAAAAAGCACAAGGTAAATTAAGCAATAACGTGGCATAACAGATTACACATCTTCTTCGTACGTAATCGCCGTTCGTTTTGTCCATAAGAACAAGAAATTCATCCAGACCACGCATAATTCAATTGCCGTTCCTCCTTTCCCAAGCAATCCAGAATCGCTTTTTACCTTATAAATTAAATTCCCAATTCCACCCCCCCCCCCCCCCCCCCCGCATCCC